ACCTGCTGCAGAAACATTTCTTCTCCTCGCTCCTCTGTGAAATAAAGATTTACAGTGATTTCACTGCGAAAAACACAAACCTTACCAACTATTTTTTGTCTAGTCTCTAGTGGAAATGTCTTGAAGCAAGACAAAACTGACTTACAAGTAGCTTTTCAGAAAGATACAGGGCATGTTTAAGTAAATAAGTAAATTCAAGATCTACTAGGAGATTATTTCACTTATAACTTGGGAAATAATCTGAAAATGGAAGTAGTAGTTTTTCATCAATAATAAGGACTTAAAAGCTCCAACATCTTGCTGAAAAGTTACTTGTAAGTTAGTTAGAATCAAAAATATTTGTTAAGCTTTGCATTCTTTTTTTTTTTTTTTTTGTTTTGCTGTGTTGCAGCTGCATGAGGGATGATAATAGTAAATATTTGCAGATCTGGAGTGAGAGCGACTTATTCTTCTCGCATACAAAAGTGACCTGAGAGTCAACACGGCCCTTGACCTCCTCCTGAAACCATGGGCCCCTCTCTCCCAGGAGCGTTTCAACAGGTTTGCAGAAACAATAAACCGAAAGCCTCTTTCACACAGAGGCTGCTCGTCGGAGTCCGCTCCCTCCAGGCGTCCCGCTCCGATGCGAGCGGGATGGGGAACGGGGTCAGCTGCGGTGCTGAGCATAGCAGACATACCTCGGAGGAACCCGATGCCAGGAGGAGACTGTACACCAGTGTGCTGAGCTGGGAGCCATCTGACTCTCTCTGCGAGTGTGACTCTCCCAGCTCAGCGTGAGTTTGCAGAAACATCCATTGCTAATATAAATCTAGGTGGAAAGCATGCAGAGACAAAGGATCCGGTGGGTGAGCCGGTTTGTTGGAGCAGCAGCAGAGCCAGAATGTTCCCCCAGTGTGAAGATGGGAGTCAGTTCTGAGCTGGGCAGAGATACTGGGCCCAGATAAGTTCCTGGAACAGAGGGGCAGTGTGGGTGGCCTGAGGTTTTTGGTGTATCCAGTCAAAGAAGAAAGCCGATCTGACAGTTTTTCTGGGGCTGACTTACATTTACAACTAAATAACTCTGATAGCTGGTAGACTCTGGAAACACTCTAAACATCCCCGTCTAAATCCTTCCAGAACTTCTGTGTGTGGCATCGAAGCAACGATGAATGAAGAACATTTACCTCTTGGACGCTTGTTAGGAAACATGCAGAACAAGCAAACATGCAAGCACAAACTCAAACCCAGGAACAACTGGCTGTCGCCTAAAATGAACCGGAAACCGTTCTGAAAGAGGACAGCAAAACTACACTGCAGGGCATTCTGGGTTAATACAAGAAAAAAACACAAAAGTGCAAGTCTACCCCAATTGAGAGAATTGACAAAGACAAAGGAAAAATCCTACAAAAAATCCACATTTGTGAAAAAGGAAGTTGCGCTCATGTCTTCTTCTGAGGTTTTAGTGAAAGATATTTACAGTAGAAACTTGACAAACTTGTTCATGTCCTCCCGTGAACAAAGGGCTCATCGGGGTCCGTATGTAAACCCACAGCAGGCTCCAGTCCACGAACGAGGCCTCATGCGGGACAAAACATAAAACTACCGACTCCCGAAATTTTGGCCTTATTCCGCCGTTGCTTCTCGGTCTGAGGAAATTTTCTTTTAATGATCCTGTTAGTAAGATTTTGAGTTTTTGCAGTGTATGAGCCCAACATAGATGGTTAGAAATTCAGCAAGACGGAGTGTATTGCAGACCCCTACACAGTCTGATCAGAGATTAGGCGTGTGTGGGTGTGCGTGGGTGTGTGCGGGGTGTGTGTGTGTGTGTGTGTGTGTGGTGTGTGTGTGTGTGTGTGTGTGTGTGTGTGTGTGGGGGGGGTGGGGGGGGGGGGTGTGTGTGTGTGTGTGTGTGTGTGTGTGTGTGTGTGTGTGTGTGTGTGTGTGTGTGGTGTGTGAAGAGGTCAGTGGGGGGTTGTGTGCTCTGTCTCTCTGTCCCTGTTTGACTCTGAGCTTTAAAAACCTCCTGTTATTGTTTTCAGTGGCTCCTTTCTCTAAGGCCACCCGGGCAGTGATCAAATCTCTCTCTGCCTCTGCTCACACACTTTTTTTTTTATTTCTTTTTTGTCTTGTCCCTTGATTTGCACACAGTTATAAAACGCACAACAACACACAATCGGTTTATTTATAACAGGGTGGGTGGGAGAGAGGAGCCCGGCCTTGGAGCTCCTATTTGGGAAGCCCAGCCTTCAATCACTCAGACTGACAGCTTCTCTGTGATACCAAAGAGAACAATACAGAGCAGCCTGTTTATCTTCCTCTGACCGACCCACTGGGCCCTGCCTCCAGCCTGGGTCGCCGTCACCCTGCCTCCCACCAGGAAAAAGGGACTTCCAGGACTGCAGCGATATCAAAGAAACCCCAAAGAGATTTTCCAGAATTAAATTCTCACCCCAACCACACTTTTGCAGCCTTGGTCGGTTATCTTTGCAGAAAAAAAGAAAAGAAAAAAAAGACCCAAAATCTTTCAGCTACATTGTTCACATGAAACTGAATCCACTTTGATATCTAACTCAGGAGAGATCGAACTTCCCCCTCCCCCCGGGGCAAAATACTCAAGTCAAAAGCATTCTCAAGCAAAAATGTCACAAAACAATTAGAGCAACCATAGCATGGCTGGACATCCATCCGTCCAGCCATGCTATGTTCGTTTAATCCCGTCAATCTGTTCATCAATACTTCTTTAAATACTTCCTTCTTTCTCCTATATTTTAGTGTTTATAGGTTCTGCATTTAAAGCCTGATAGCTGCAGAAATATCATCCATATTTAGAGTGATCTGAAATCTGGGAATCAGAGTTTGGAAGCTAAATAAAAAAGTGTAGCAATCCTACAGCTTAAACCAGAGTTTTACTAAAACAATATTTTTATTTTTTCATCTGGGTAATAAGATAAAAAAAATCATCAGGTTTGGATGAAATATTAAACATTTATCCAGGTTCAAGTTGTTCAAATGTGAAAATTTGAAGCTTTCACAGATTTTGCTTGAAATCTTCTGCTGCTTTGTGAAAAAAAAAAACACTAACCATTTCTTTAATTCATTGCGAATAAAGTAGCTTCTCTGACCTTTAGCTGCGGCTAAAATAATTTCCCCCCTTTTATTTCCAGCCTGACATCATGCAGTTTATGGTAAGCCCCTTCAGCTAAAAATAATTTTCTATGAACTCTGAGTGACTCCTCTAAATGAATGAAAGACTGCCTTGTATGTGTATATGCTTCACATACACATGACAGATTACATGGGTGGAGGGCAGGCACAGTGGAGAGGCGGCGGGGCGGGGGGGGAGAGAAAAAAGGCCGGCTGCAATTGTTATCTCGAGTGAAGCTTTGAGGAGTTTTCACTGGAGTTAAATGGTCCGTGTCATCACGACGCAACTACTGTGCAATGTTGGCTGGTGGCTGAACTGACCGGCCCGGGTTTTATCACGACGATTTGGACGAACCACAGCAGACTGAGAGACTCGCAGCCGTAAAACGTGACGACAAACTGATGAGATCTGGAGCAAAAACTAACTTTTATTACCCTCTGTGCTGACTGTTTTCTAGAGAAATCACTGTTTTATGTTTGAAATGCCTGAAACTATTTTTCTGCCATACATAACTGTTAGGACTGTCTTTGAGTCTTCATCCATCCAGCCATCATCTTCCACTTAATCCATCTCTGGGTCATAATAGAAGCAGCCTAAGCAGAGAAACAGTTTCTCAGCCACTCTGGGCTTTTCCCCATTGACCTGAATTTCTCTGGTACAAGTTCAACCGGGCCAATCAACCAACAGAATCAGAATTTGTGAATGATGTCGATTTTCAAGCCCGTTTTAGAGTTGTAGTCTTCCTGTAGTTTTAGCAACAGTAGCGGAGGAAGTGAAGGAAGCCATTCAATGTGTTGGTCACACTTCTGAATACTGAATGAGCGTAAACATTCAGTATTCAGTCAATCTGAACGAGATTAACCTCGTTCACATTGGCTCTTCTCTCTACAGAAGAGGATGGTTGGGCACAGAACAGGCAATATCCGGTAAGCTTCATAGCGTAGAATACACGTCATGGGCAAACGTGAACAGTCAGGTAAAATTTAAAGCCTCAATACAGCCCAATCCTCCAGCAAGCAATCGCTTCTCAACAGTCGAGGTTCAGACCAGTGAAGCAAAGCACTGAACAAGGGGTTGGTTTTTACCAGGCCAGGAAAAAATCCCTGTAAAATGATTAATAACTCTAGCTGATTCTGTTAAACTTTTCATTTAATGTTAATAGGATACACTTATGTCTTGAGAAGCAGAAGTAAGAAGCCCAACACGTCTGATTATTACATATCAGAAAGTTTGCAGAGCAGCTCTGCTGTTGGCTTCAGCAGAGCATTACTGGCATTATTTGAATGAGCCAGTCTTAACGTAGGCATGAAAATGCCTTTTCCTTTCTTACTGTAGCACAAACAAAAACATGTCAACCTGCGATAATGGTTTTAATTCAATTTCTTTAGAAACACTTCCAAAATAATTTTTTCAGCGATCATTTTTCTACATTTCCCTCTTTGCCTCGGTGTCACTGTTGTGACTGATGTCTTTTCCATCCTGTTGCCCTCTTTGAATTAAAGAGGAGGAAAAGCGTCCAATCCCTTTGACCTTCACCTTGACTTATCCGTTTCCACCAAACACACATAAAAACACGCGGGCCTGACACCACGTCCACCTTTCCTATTTTAGTCAGATTGCCTCCTCTGCGTTCTCTCGCTCTCTCTCTTCCTAACTCTTTTAAAGGTATGTCTGGTTTTCTGCTCTCATGATAAACTTACACAAGCGGAACGTTTGCATATTTAATGGCTTTTAGGGAACAAATTGCATCCGTAGCCCAGTGATGCAGATGTTAGACCGATAATCTTTAAATAGCCTTAAAACTACACTCTGTACTTTTTTGGGCACAGATTTGTCATCGAATTCCAGTAAAGGACAAAGCTAAGAGCACAAACAGCAATGTTAATACACTTTTATTAGAACTGATAGCGTTCACATTCATAAAAAAAAGAAAAAAAAAAGAATGAAGTAACAAATTGGAGAATGAAGCCATGATTTAACCCAGGAAACGAGGCGCTGTTAAAGCTCGTCTTGGTTGCTCCTGGTGTCTCGTAGACGTATGAGGGACCTGAGGACCTCCTCTGTTTGTCTGCTGCCCAACTGTTTACCCCCTCTGCTCCTCACGTTCACTGCTCCACTCTCACGCTCCTTATCGCCCACCACTGCAAAAAACACAAGGGAGGAAAAAAATAAAGACGCTGAAATATGTTAACGTTGATATAAGGGAGGAAGAGGCAGGAGATGGAGCATCAGGGGGGGAAAAACATTTATATAGGCAGCTCCAAGTTGCTGCTTTCATTATTCATCTTTACCAAATATGTAGTTGTACTGGGCCAGCTGAGCGGAGCGAATCTTCTTATTTAAGGTTGCTCCTTGATCGTTGTTGAAATCCACCAGGAAGCCAGCTTCGTGGAACGTCGCGACCACCTTTAGACAACCGAGAAGTTTTCCTCTAAAGATTTTATCTCTTAAAAGCTTCACATATTTACTGATTTATCACACTGAACTAAAAAAAAAGATTAGACAAAGAGGACTTTGTTGGCAGTTGTCCACAGAAGACTGACCTGTCTAGCGTATGACTCACTGTTGCCCCCTACAGGAATCACCATGATCTGAGACGGAGACAACCACAGCGGCCTAGTGTGGACACAAACAGAAACGTGAGAATATGTCAGATGAGAAGCTCATCTTTCACCATTTTTTTGCCTAAATCTCATCATTCTAATATTTCTTTCATTTCCCATGTTTTAAAGCTTTTTTGTGATACTTTTTTTATGTTTTTTTGGTTAAAATTTTTCAGTGAAGCACATTTAATTAAGTGTGATACAAATAAACTTGGCTTACTTGCAACATAATGGTAATTTAAAAATGTAATTCCAGAAATGAAACTTGTACCTTAGATAGATCCAAAGTACCTGTAGGGTATATTTAAACTATTTATTACTTTTTAATTTGGATGATTACGCCATAAAACTAACCAAAATCCAGTTTGTTGGAAAATGTAAATATTACAAAACAAATTAGAAAAGGATTAGGTGGTTTTCATAGCTGATGGTCCAGCAGACTCTGTTTGATGGGAAGCAAAATGGCAACATTTCTTTCATTTTCAACTGGTTCAGTTTCACTCCGTGTCAAAATGAACCAAACCTTTGTTCTCCTCCTCGCCTTGAGGAAACGAAACAAAAACTTCTGAAGAAGACATGAGCGCAACTTCCTTCTTCATGAAATGTAAACATGAAGTAGCATCACATTTTAGTAGCTGTGTCTTTGGCAAAAGACCCTGAGCCATTTCTGTCACCAATGCTAGACATGAACAATTGTTTTGGTTGCATTTACCCACAATGCCCTGTGCTATGGCTTTTAAATGGCTCTCTGGTGAGAAACGCACCAGAGTTCATTTCCACCAAACCGAGGCCTGGGCAATTTGACTAAAACAGCGAACTAGAGTTTGCTTTTTTTGGTTGGCATCAGAGTTAAGTTGTGCATTCACACACAAACAAACCAAACTGTCTAGGTAAACAAACTAAAGTTAGATTAAAGTGGATTGGCTGGTGTGAATGAACCCCAAGATAAAATACTGTTATGGCCACGACTGTAGATTGAAGTCCTAATCATCAAAATAAAACAGAGACACTATTAACTTTTTTAGAATGTGCTAACGTAAAGAGTTGTAGCTGTAAATGCCGTGTTTTGTCATCATGATCTCACCATTTGCCTCCAAAGTTTTCAGCCAGTATCGCAATCATTCTCTCCAGTGACCCCAGTACAGCCCTGTGGATCATCACTGGTCTGTGCAGCTGTCCGTCTCGTCTGAGGAACGTCAAACGATGATTAGGTCACAGTGCAAATCAATGGGGAGGGCAATTTTAATGATTTTTTTTTCAAAGAGTCGATATCTGAAGCAACCACAACAAATCTATCAACGTTTACGTTTTTGCTGGGTTTTTTTTCTAAAAAAAAATCTAATAAATCACAACAAGTATCTGTGCTGCAGTAGGATTCCTCTTTGCTGACTGATTGAAAACACTTTGATGGAAGCAGATTAACATGAAGCAAATCGAGATCAGAAGCAGTATCCTCTCTAAAGACAAAAAAACACCCAATTATTCACGACTAAATTAGTCTTTTCTTAACTTCTGTCATTTTAACCTGGACATTACAAGACTTTACTCACAAAAATGCGAGTTTAGAAAAATGACAAGTAGATGGCAGAACCCTGGAGGTTTAAACCAGCACAGATGTAGGAATGTTTTGGAAAGCGAGGGCCAAAGGCAGCAGATCTGAACTGACTCACCCGACGTACTGAAGGTTGAATCTGATGGGCAGCTGGAAGTCGAGCTGGATTGTGGCACACTGGTGTTGTCGGCCAATTGCATCTTTAATCTGGATGTCGATCTGAGATGAAACGGGACACCGTTTCTTAATGTCTGGACTTCACTTCTGCTTTTCAACAAATCTGATTTTAGAGCTCTTAGACACCAGCGGCAGCCCAAGTACATTTTTGCGGACTGAACTGGTTACAAACTTGTTTCTGGGAAAGCTGCAGTACCCAATTGTGGCCAACGTGGCCCAGCTTCACAGCTGTGAGGAATGCGAGTTAGAAAAGCACAGGACTCTGTGTGCATGTACCTCATACATGACCTGACCTTCCTCCTGCTCCCAGCCTGGACATGTCGGCCTAAAGCCAACATCCTCCTGCGACTTGTTCATCAGTTGCACAAAAATAAACAGTCCCAAAAGAAAACAGAGCACATTCCAGTTTTACAGTTTCTAAATTTATACGTAAAACTCAAGAAGCCAATAAAAAAAAATCTTAATTTAGATTTTATTGCTCCACACTGAACAGAAAATGGTGAAAATATAACAGTAAAGCAGTAATACCAGGCTTAAGGCAAAAGTGTTTTAAAATCCGTCACAGACAGTTAAAGTTAACAGAAAAGAACAATTATGTATATGTTTAAAAGCCCACAAAGCTCTTACCCTGAAGATTTAGGAGTATACTTACAGATGAAAACATTGGTTTCTAAGTAAAAGTTGGTTCTCAACTCAGAACCAACTGTTATTAAATCCTCCCATATGACCCATGTTAAATCCCCCTGGATGTAACGTGATTAATTTCAGGTGCTGTGTTTGCTTTCTGCGAAGTGGCATCTTCCATATATATTTTTTTTTTCTCTAATTGAGTCTGGAAAGTTTTTGCATATTTCATCATTGTGCCTCCGAGTTGCAAATCTGCACAATCCGTTATACTCCTTAAATCTGTATTGGCTAAGAAATATCCTGATCAGTGGATCAATAGCTGTAGCTGCCATCAGTAAATGTTTGCACCTTTCTCACCGCCCCTCCCTGCTGACCTTTGGGCCGTAGAAAGCTCCGTCTCCGGGGTTTAGCTCCCAACGTTCGGCAAACTGCTGCAGGCTCTTCTCCAGCTGCTGCTCAGACACAAACACACGAGACGACTGGAGATGAGGCGGCGCAGGAGAACAGCCAGATGATTAATTCACATTATTATCAGCATTTTGGGCTCTGAATGTGAACTGTGGGAGCTCAGAACACTGATGTTAAGTTACAATGAACAAAAATTCCTGGAAGACAGTAGAAGACATTCATACATGTGTGTCAGCTATGAGCTGGTTCTACACTAGTTCTTGGTTTTTCCATGGATGAAAGCTTTCACGCTATTTTCGGAGTTGGAGCAGAAGATAGAAACACAGCATCTGCAGGTGGGCTCATGGAGACCCGAAAGCCAATCAAAATGTCTTGAGCAGGACGTTTTATGCTTCCTCGAACAGATTGATTGGACAGTCTAAAGCATGTTCATTACATTTAGCTCCTCTTGTCACTTTAAATCCAAATAAGCTGCTGCTGCTGCTGGCTACGGCCCCTAATTTAACGTTTACACTCGCACATAACAGATGTTATGTAAACAGATGTGCAGTTATATGACTGTACATGTTTGAAAAGCAAAAATGGAGCCTCCTGCACAATCAACAAGAATTCATAAAGTGGTTTATATGCAGTCAGTTACAAAAAAAACATTGCGCATAACATGCAGTGGTAAAACCAGCTGATCAAATGTGCTGGAGCTCCGGTTGGGGTTAATAGATGAAGCCTGGATTAAGATGGGGTTGCTAGGTAATGGGAAAATGCCTATGGCTTGTCTCTTAGCAATTGTTTTTGAAACTGCTTGTTTTTCAGACAGTGAAAAATATTAAAGTATTTCCAAAAACATCTCGGTCTTAGAAGCAGCAAAGACTAATGGAAGTAGAAAAACATGCACAATGTGAATTATCTATAAAAGGTCTCCTTTAAACTCTAACGTTGGTTTTGTTGTGTTACCTAATTCAGAACCATATAGTTGTTGTAAACCAGTGATAAGAGTTAGCACAAGAGTAACATAAGCTCTCCTTCCATCTTCCTTCTCTTTATTTGAGGAGTTTCAGGAAGTCTGTGACCAAAGCTGAACTTGCATCTGCTGTTGTTCACTGAATTTATAAACAACCATTTCCAACAAGGGTTTTAAACGCACTGCCTATTCTCTTTCATGTTATCAAACACTGCTAGTAAATCCTTCTCCAAGTGCTGTGTTTAGCTTCTTCCAGGGCTTTTAGAATCACATTCCATTAATTTGTGAAGTTTTTGATATTAGAGTATCCGCTTGCATGAAAACTGGGATTAATGAGGTGATCTGTGAGCTGAACTGAATCCTTGAACTGCAATCCTGAGGAGAAATTAAAAATTAGCTGCATAAAACATTAAAGATAAAACAAGGACGTGGCTCAGCGTTCAGAAGTGGTGAAGCACTGGAGCCAGTTTGGTGGAAACACCCTATCAGGCTCTTCTGTTCTTGCCTGTTCGGCGTGGTTCCACTGTTCAGGCTCCCCCAGGCACGGAGTGGGACGTGTGGACAGCAAGCAGTGGAAGGAAAACCCAAACACTTGATAGACGCGCCGGACAAAGTCCAAACAAGCCACAATCTCCTGTTCCAGCTGCAGAGAAAGAGCGAAACGGTGGTGTGAGGGAGGGAGCAACAAGAGGACAGGAAGGTATGCAACAATCAGCAGAGATGATTAAGACAGAGGAGTTCAAAGGGTAAAATTCCTACCCAGGTAGGAAGAGTGCATCTAAGATTGAATTAGCATTTCAGAGGCCAGTGGTTATCATGTGATCTCTGAATTGCCAGGGCGCCACCAGAGACCTGGAGAGCGGATATGATGGGAAAGATCCAGGTCTGGATGCAGCAGATCAGGATGACTGTACAGCTGCAGCGCCACACATGCGGAGGTATCGTGTTTGAACGGGACAAAGGGTCACATTCATCCAGCCAAAGGCCTCCTGGAATGTCTCAGGAGTTATTTGTACAGCCCATCTAATTACCGTGCCACATGTGTCTCCTTTACAGTTTCAATTTAATTGAAGCACCTTCAGGGATATAATGTGGCTTAAATAGATAAAAAAAAAAAAAAAAAAAAAAAACATGTTCTACCTGCTCCGGCGTGCAAAAAATGTGTGCGTCGTCCTGGCAGAACCTCCGGACGCGAGTCAGCCCTCCCAGAGCTCCAGACAGCTCATTACGATGCAGAGCGCCAAAGTCGGCCCAGCGCAGAGGAAGCTCCCGCCACGAGCGAACCCGATGCTCAAACATGAGACTGAACCCAACAGAGCAGAGTCAGTTCCCATCGAAATGTCCAAATGTAGAAATAAGGATGATATAAACAGCCTTTATTATCCCGCAAAGCATAAATTCAGGTGTAAAAGCAGCAACTGACGTGAAGGGTCACACAAAAAGTTCTTAAAGAGTTAAAAGCAACATATAAAAAACAAGATTAACATCAACGAAAATAATGCTGCATATTAAGAATGGACAATAAAGCAATAACAAGGTCGGTGGTATCAACTAACTCGCTTTCTCTGCGGTTACTGAGCAACTCACTCATTTTTGATTACTTATCAACAACCTGCTCGAGTAAACAGCAGGGTGAAGTTTCGCCACTCATAAATAAATAAATGTGTGGAGTGAAAACTGGGTAAAGCAGGAGACATCACATCACAAGTCTGGAAGTAAATCAGGTAATTAAAGCAAAAAACTAATCAATAATTATCAATATCAACTGATATGAAACACTAATATCATGATCAAAATATTGTGCAGTGTATATCTGTGTACAGATGTGGACTGACAGCGGTTACACTCCTTTGTGCATTTCGGATGCGGCAGTCTGTTGCTGAAGGAGCGCTGTTTGTTACGTATTTGTGTGCTTTTGCTTTTACCAGTGTGCAGGGCAGTTCATGGGCTTCAGAGCGAAGGTCTGAGCGCCCTCCGAGGTCACGGTGAACATGTTCTCGCTGTAGTGCTCCCAGTGGCCCGAGCGCTCCCATAAAGCAGTGCTGTAAAGGGTCGGGGTCACGACCTCGGTGAAGCCTCGCCTTCGGTACTCGCTCTGTGAGGGGTCGGAGAGGGAAGGATATGTGCAACAATGAGCGAAGGAGTGGGTAAAACTGTCACAACAGCGTCACGATTAAACCAAGACTAACATCCTGACCACGGACACACACTCATAAATCTTCAGGGTCGTAAACTGAGCACATTAATGGGAGAATTCAGTTCGCAGAAGAAACAGTCATTACCAAGAGGAACGAATGAAAAACCTTCGGCTGCTGATTCTCATCCAACTTTACTGCCATCACACCAAGGCATGTTTTGTATTTGGGTTCGGCTCAACTGGATTAAAGGGTCATTTTTATTAGCAGTTAAAATTGTGTATTGTCGCAGCTTCAGATCTAATTTCTAATGTTTCTAGAAGAGAAATTAATGCCTGAATCTGTCTTGGAGATGGACAAACATTTCATCAGACTATGTGCTCTGTTCCATATCAAAGTTTGTTAGATGATATATGAGAATATTGAGCCAGATGTTACAAATCTAAGTTTGTGTAAAATGTTTAGATTTACATCTAGTAGATTTAGTCTTTTAAGACTTCTTTAGTCTATTTAACTTTAGGAAAACAGTAAACCTGCATTTCTGGGTTTTCTTAAGTTTCAAAAGGTTAAATTTAAGGTTTTAAAGACCTTCATAAGACCATTATGGCTCAAATGTAAAATCTGCACAAATGACAAAAAACCAAGTTAACATGGTCATGTAGTAACTTTGAACTTCTGACTTTTTTGTATTTTTGCAAAATTATTGTTGCTTAGCTTATGCGAAATACATCAAATTTGTCCAGGTGTTGTATTTTAAGCCTGACGTCTCAAAACTAAATAAAGCAATCTGTGTCCTTTTGACTGATATGTATCATTTTACAGTTTGTGATATTTTATCTCCACCAACTTGAATCTAGATTTTTTTTTTTAAGTATAAAGATTGGATTATTACATTTGAGACCAAAGTCCAGGATTTTTTTAAAAATAAATGATCTTGACAAATTAAAAAAAATGGACATAGTCTACTTTAGTCCAAAAGCTTTGTATAAAATATTAAAAATTAAGATAATCTGCTGATTCAGTATATTTGCCATATTTGATTCCAGTCATTCATGTTAATTTGAAAAGTTGTTCAAAATATTACTATAGTCTAAAAATATATGTTTTAAAACATCTCAGATTTCATGATTTTATTTACCGACTGTTACTCCAGCATGAAACTTTTTTGTTGTCTGTCGACTCTAAATATTTGGCATAAAATTAACTCCACCTGAAATGAACTACAATAAAGAACCAGCCTTTTTCCAACTATTTGAAGCACAAAATTATGCATTTTTTGACTCCATTGACTCTGCCAAACATAATGAGTCAATTTGGTTATAAAGCGGCCATAAGTAGTTTAAATGTTTACAAAAAGTAGAGCACCTTAATAAAGTCAGTGAGGGAGTTGTAGATGTGGGCTCCTTTAGGCAGAAAGAAGCAGCTGCCTGGGCTCACGTCGTTGAAGAAGAACAACTCCTGGTCCTGAACAAAAACATCAAATCTATTTACTGATGAGAGGAAGGCTGATTTTACCACTTAGTTTCACTTCTGGGATGCATCTCTCATCTCACTGTTCCTATCCGCCGGTGGTCTCTCCTCCGTGCCTCTTCCTGCTCCCTCTCCCACTCCTTCCTGTCCTTCTCTCCTGGAAACGCCACACCTATCAGACGCGTTAAGCCGCTGGACTCCGTCTGGTTGCACAGCGTGACGGAGGACAGCTGGAATGAGAGAAAATAATGAGCGAACAAACAGATGGCAACAGAGGAAAGGAAAGTGACAGGCTGGCAAAAAAAGGGAAGAATGTGATATTTATCTGATGGAAAGCATTGTGTTAGTGCTTGGAACAGGAATACGGCCTCTGGCAAACACAACATCCTGTCACCAATATTTTCAGCCTCATGCTGTTGTGGAATTCCAGTCTGCCAAGTGACAGACCAGCACAGAACCAGAGCCACGGATCAGAAAAATGAGGAAAAAAATTTTGACTTATTCAGGAGAAAAGCCACATGAGATAAGGATGGAGTCATCTGATTATAGTGTGATCCAAAATTCTCAATCATCTTGTTTGAAGCGTAAAGAAAAGACCAGAGCTATAAAAGGAAAACATTTGTTGACTTTCTAGAGAATAGTTATCCATCTTTAAGTTAGAATTATAAAAAGGCAAATGCATAAAATTACAGGGAAGTTGAGCAAAGAAAAATCAAGAAAACAAGCAGAAGACAGAAACAGCCACACACCTGCAGCATCTTAAAGACCTTGAGGAAACCTGTGTGTGGGAGGAGAGGCCCGTCACACACCGCTAACCTGTCCCCACATCTGAATCACACACAGGATAACAGCAGGTCACATTTTTGTTGTTATAAAATAAACAAACAGAAAGCAAGTCAATATGAACACATGCCTGTAGACTGTGATGGTGGGGCCGTTAATCTGCTCCTCAACAAGCTGCATCCGTAGTTTACTGTCCTATAACACACACACACACACACACACACACACACACACACACACACACACACACACACACACACACACACACACACACACACACACACACACACTGCACTATTAAAAAACACAGATGCATTATAAAACAAGTGTTGAAGTTATTAAACTCAGAAGTAAACTATTAGAACTAAATATGAGACTACAAGACTGAGTAACACCATGACAATAACGAGAGATAGCTTAAAAATGATACTTTAAGAAATGAAATATTACTTAAGGCCTCCATTTTTTTCCCTGAGTTCTTAAGTCTTGATTAAATTCGGTTTTCCGGAGTATGAAAAGCATTCCTCCTTTTAGCTGCTCAGCACAGGAACATATAACAGTAGAGCCAAACTAAACAGAACAAGTCGTTTTAAAGTATTTCATTAAACTGGATTGATGCGGATGCTCCAACATGTCTGACCTCAAGCGTTTCTGTTCTTGCTTTAGTTTGTAATCTGTGCAAATCAATCTGGAAAAAGTCTCCATTTTCCGATGAAAGACGTGCATGGAGAGAAATTTACAGACTTACCGTACATCTGAGCTGAAACCTGATGAGGAGTAAAACCCCCTTGTTTTTATCAATTTAATCAAATCTGTGAATTCTCCAGCAAGCACTTTTGTCAGTTTGCCTTTCGTGGCTTCTGGTGATTTGAACTTTTTCTGTGATTACACTGCAACAGTTTTCTTTAAACCAAACACTGAATGAACTACTATTACTGCTTTCTCTCCTCCTTTAATTTAAATTTCATCAAATACCCAACAATTTCCCACTGCTGATTCTCCTGACAAGGCAGAAACATCAAAGGTAGTTGTGTGCCTACCTGCAAAAAACTATTAGTCAGTAAAAGAGTTTCTACAGAGCACCTTGAAGTGCTGCATCTCTCACCTCCTCAAAACATGGAAAAAAGTTATAAATTTAAGATGTATCTATATGTAATTTAGGCTCTGGAATGAAACAATCGATTAAATATGTTAATTATTAAGTTTTGCGCTTTTTAAGATGCAGCAGAAATCCCTTTTTTGTGTGCAGCTATTTAAAGGATTTACAGTTTTAGATGGCAGGAGGATAAATTGAAACAAGAAAGGACCAAACTGTTTGTAAAAGGTCCCGCATAAGAACATTAAGAGACCTACAGCAATAATTACTGACCTGAAACAGTTCATGAAGCTCTGCTGTGTTCAGGTCCAGTCTGACTAAAGGAAGTTTGAGGGCTGCAGCCTCCTTACATTTAGCCTCCACGTCACTCAGCAACAAGGAACTGAGGAAGAAATGAACAAATTAAAACTTAAAGCTTCCATACTTTCCCAGACTCATTGTGTTTTAGATTTTTCCAATACTTTATAACCTTGAGTAATAAAATATCAGCTTCTCCAACTTTATTCTCAAAGAAATCATGACAACAATCATGAAACTAAAGGAAAATAAAGGGTTATTTCACTTTTTTGGCATCTAGATATAGTAGGATTGCATGAAATCTCTAGAAAATCTAGACATCCTTCATCTCAAAGTATACGAACAGAAATACCTTCACTTCACATATGCAAAAGTGAAAAACTGCAAAGCATCCGTTTTCTGAATTTTAGGGGCCATGAATTTTTTGGTTAATGCATAAGAAAACCCTCAAAAAGTTGATCCTCTTCATAGAAATCAACAGTTTTACATAATATTTTTACCTTCAAGATATTAGAATTACAGTTTAGAAATTAAAGTTTTTCCCCCCATACATTTTATTTTTTCTATATTTACGCAGACGTGGAAAATAATCAATTCAGATTCCATAACTTTCCAAAGTTTTCAAGACTACACAAGAACCCCGAGTTCTTGTGTCTCACCTGCTGCTTGGAACATAGTCGCAAAAAAGTCCGAACTCTGACGCTCCTTCCCTGCACACCTCTGCACCAAACACCCCTTCCAACACACCGCCAAGGACAGACGCTCCTGTCCTCCATGCTGCCTGTAAATTAGTTACCGAGTTTATTCGGCTCAAAGAATAAACCAGAGTTTTAAAAAAATAGAAGGTGTCCATAAGGTTTACATTAAAAAAAAAAAAAAAAAAGTTTACATTTACAGCAATATCAGATTTTTCCTCACTTATAAGGAGTTCAAAGTTTAGAGAAAAAAAATACCTTCTGGGAAACCAGTCGGTAAAAAAGGTTAAGAAAAGAAGTATGCCAGTAAGTTGAAATAATGAGAATAGAGTGATAATATTATGAGAATAAAGTCAGTGTTGCAAGAAAAAATTGGTAATAATACCAAAAAAAGCCATAATACAAGGATAAATTCATAACATTTCCAGAAAAAAAAAATCACAATATTAAGAAAATAAAGTTGTGATCTTAGGAGATTAAAGTAGAAATTTCACAGTCTGAAATTCTGAAATTTCAGACTGTGAAATAATCTTGACTTCAAATAATCTTGTGAATTTATACTTTGGTATCAGTTTTAGAAATAGATTATATTTAATCTTTAAATGCATCAGCATGAAATTATTATTAGTAGGAAGATTTTGAAATTACTGTTTCAAAGAATGAACCACATGGACTGAACTGGTCATGTCATGTTTTCTCAAAGCTTTGCTCTCATTAAAATGACTTTTTCTAGTAATTTTGTGACTTTCTTTTGGGAATACTGCATCTTTATAATGACTTTATTGTGGTATAATGACAGGTATGTCATACATACCTGTCTCCCTTCAGCAGAGTCAAACCCCAGAAGCTGCAGTTCACAGTCTCCCTCTAGAGGTCGTTCAAGCTCCCACAGCTCCCCATTCACTTTACACACCAGGGCTCCTTTCACCCTGAAATAAAACATGGATTTACACCTGCAATCATGCAACACCTCAAAAACATTTCTGCTTCTCTTGTGTATTCACCTCAGACTCTGCGCAACATATTGCGGTGTGGTTACTCCAGCTGTTCCCTTCACCGCCTGTCCATCAGATAGGCGGACGGAGAGAGGGCTTTCTCTAACTTCACGTCTCCTGTTCTTGTCTCTTTGTTCCCTGAGAGACTCAAAGACTCGCAGGCGCTCTGACAGGGCTGGAGACAACTGGAGCTGCAGAGGAAAAATATTAAAAAGAGTAAGCAGGCACATCGTGAAACATGACGAAAGTCAGGGAATGAGTAACAGTCATTAAAATTAAAAGCATTTCATCATTTCAGTTGTAAACCTCATCATAAAGCAGTATTTTCCTAGCAGAAACCCATGTTTTCATCTTTCTAAAATAATGGCCTAGGTCACATTTTTTGCCAAAAGTGACTTTTTTTTGTGCTTAAAGCATATTTTGGAACAAAAGTGGTGGCAATTGTTTTGCCAAAACCTCTTACCACTATAGTAGGAAGGTGACGATATGTAAAAATTACCGTACATCTCTTAACTGAGTATTTTATAACAGCCAAGGGATTGGAGAATGATAAGTTATGTCATTTCATTTGTTTCTCCCTGCCAAATAAAATGAACATCCAGTCATGATGATGACTCAAAACTCTGGTTCTCATACCTCTGGTGGTCCTCAGGCTTCCTCTAGTGGCAAAAATGTGAAATTCAAGCTTTATGTCTAACCAATAGGGTAAGGCCATCACAGGGACGCAGCACATTTTTTTATTTCAAGGTTGTAGAATCAGATTTATGGACCTTTCATTACTTTAATCAATTTTCTTAAATATACAAAAGAATATTCTAAATATTTGGCAGATATTTCCACAGATGTTGGGTTTTAAACATTGGACATCAATCAAATATAAAAGAATTTAAAGTAGTAGAAAAGAAAGGTCAAAAAGGGAAAGGGAAAATAATCAACCTAAAGAGGAATGGCAGTGTGAGAAAGAAAGAAAGAAAAAAAATATAATTCATAAGGGAAAAAATGGGATAGAATGGAAGACAGAAATAACCAAAAGATGGAATGAAATCATAAAAGAACAGGATTAAGGAGGAAACATTGGGAATAATAAAAGGAAGAAGGAATGAACAAAGGAACTACAAAATGACAGAAATAAGTGGAGGGCAAAAGGAAAAAAAAAACTGTTTAATAACAGGAAGGATGAGAGGAACAGATGGAATAATGGAATAACAGATGGAAGTAAGAAATGTTTTTAAATACAATCTTTTTTCCTGTATTGCTCTAACGCTAGAAAAAAAAAAAATCAATTTACACACTCATCCAGACTGTAGGAACTCTGTACTCAAAAGGTATGTTGGTCAAGCAAGCTACAAGATCCTGGAATGTAAATTTTAAAGAAGATGTGCAGAGGAGAATATCCAGAACAATTTCAGAAACTGGAGCGAATGACAGTGAACCAGAAAAAAAAAAAAAAACAACTAATGTTTTAAGCAAAATTATGTTTGATTTCTCCAATGCTTTTAACACAATTCAGCCTGATTTGCTTTGTCAGAAACTCCAGAAGCGGAGACCTCAACAATCATGTTGAAGGACCATGTGTCTTGCCTGGTGATCAGCAGCACAAGGAATAGTACTCTGACCTTTTAGATAAACTATGTACACTTCAAACTTCCAGGACGAAACAGAGTCCTGTCATCTGCAGAAATACTCAGATTATTCTGCAGTCGTCAGATGTATCAGAAATGGACAAGAAGCGGAGTACAGAAGTGGACCACTTTGTGTCATGGTTTGGAAACAACCTACTCATCTCTAATGTGAACAAAGATGGTTGTAGATTTCAAGAGAAACAGGGTTAGAGCAAACGATTCCCATCATGGGGGGGAAAAGTAGAAGTGGTTGATGAATATAAATACCTCAAAGTCCAGCTGGACAACAGACTGAATACGAGATGCAAAAGAGAAGCATCTACAAGAAAGGATAGAGCAAGCTGTATTTCTTGAGGAAGTTCTTCAGTGTTTGGAGCAAAATGCTACAGATATTCTGCAATTCTGTTCTAGACTCCTCGAGATCATCTGGAGAATATTGTACAAATGAGATTTCTTCATAAAATGAACATTACAGACAACCCAGTGCATCCTCTTCATGAAACTGCTTTACAACAATAGACTGTCTTCAGCCAGAGGCTTTTTCAGAAGTGAAAAATACTGACTCCTACAGGAGATCCTTCCTGCCAGCAGCATCAACTACTCTGAAGAAATTTCAATGAGTTAAAACATTTAATTTCCCTTTGAAACTAATAAGGTATCTTTGAGAATACCTTATTATTATCCAAAAATAGTTCCTTTGGAACTAATAAGGTATTTTTGAACTGACTTTTGAAAAAGTACTGGTGGCCATTTAAGTAGCAGCATTTGCATTATTCCAGCTAGAAAACGTGAATTTAGCTGTGGGACATTAAAGGCAACTCTCTTTGCAGCAAATGCATAACGCCATTCCATCGACAACTTTGATGTCTGTCCTTCTGCTATAACTATTATCAATATAAGTAACTGACAATGGTGATTTGTTTTATTTTTTTTTTAGATAAAATGAATGTCAATACAGTCTGCCTGATACATTTGACAGATATTTGTCATTTGGCATCAAGTAAACCAAAGACAGACATATCTGCAAGATGAAAAGCTTTTCTGTGGCTATGCTGACAGTAAATGTGAGGCTGCGTCCATTTATCATTTAAACACATTCAGGCAGACCAGTCAGTCTCTGTGTACTGATTTATTAATAGTAACCCTCCACTTGAAGCCTCCTTTAGACACCGTTTGCATAACAGAGCAGATCTAAGCACAATGGATCTGTCACATGAAATGTCCCAAGTACCATAAAAAGCTACAGCTTCAGTCAGATCATTTAGGTTTACAAATGCAAAACTGTTATGCCGAAAAAGTGGCAAAATTCAAATCCTAAAAGAAAAACATCACAAACATGAAAATGTTGATCTTGAGAAATTATTTCAAGTGTGGAATGCCAAGCTGAAAAAGAAAGTGCTGCATCATTGTAATAACTAGCATGACATTATGAACAGGATGAGCGCCCTGACTTTGCAGATCCATGTGCAAAACAGCAAAGAACTGTGTATTCTGCCACCTTTCTGTAAGAGCCAGCATTAACTTCTACAGCAATCTGAAATAGAGCAAGTCATCTGTCAGATTTTATCAGATGGTGGTTTGAAAACGTTCCTTTCTTGGGTTGCTTTTGATTATTATTCACCACTGCAGACTTGCTCACCCCAGAACAGCTGCAGGTTTGGAGATGCTGTGACCTACTTTAGTAATCAGTCCCATCCTTGTATCCTTATGAAGCCCAATTTTCCTGCTGGCAACACTAAATCTGAGGTGAGGTAGCTTGCTGCTTAATGTTGTTAACTCATGTAAATCCTAATGCTAATTATTGAAAATGAAAATATTCAGCTGGGGAATGTAGCTAAATTTCCAATCCCAGAAAAGTCCAAGCATTACACAAACATTTTGTAACTAATGACAATATTGACAAATGGTATGGTTTTAATTTTGTGGTAACTGAAAAAGGGCGTATATTAATAAATAAAAAAATCTGGTTCCATCAAAAATATTCCTATTAAATTACTTTTCCCCCAAAGGACATTTAATTTAATTATCATCTAAAGCAACCCGTTTAGTCAATAATAAAATGTGTAATTACACTTGATAATAAATGTACAAAACAGAATTTGTTTACACACATATCAAATGGACATCAGTTTCAGCTCATGACATGACACACAGTAAACACTCTGCCCTGTATGCTAACTTTAGCATCAGTTAGCTTCCCGTTGCCACAAGTTTCCGCACCTTGCTGTACCTCCTTCCTGCGTGGAGTGTCGACCTACTCACGAGCAGCTTAAGCAGCTGCGTCACCGCCATCCTGAACGCACCTGCGCAAGAGTTTATTTACAAACATGCCTCATTTCTCTGTCTCCCTATATGCAAGCGGCCATAACACAGGAAACACGAAAGTCGGCAGAAGCAGCGGTGACGTTCGTTGAGGTCAGACTCGGTGACGCAGATTCGGAAGCAGCGTGCGCGTTCGCGGCTAGAAGCCAGAGCGCGCTTACACTTAAGAGATGCGCCACACAGAGAAAAAAGGAAGGAAGGATGCAGGGCGCGATACACTGGAAACCGAATAATTAGAAGTTCAAATTGAAGTTATTAGTAATTAATTTAAGTCAGAAACTCTTTAAAATTTCACAGTGGGCATTCTGCTGCATACGGGCGATAAGCAAGGTGAAAAGGGGCAGTTTTTGTGCCTTCTCTGGTTTTAAATACATTTATTCATCTAGTTAACAGCCAGGTTGATTTCCCAAACATTTTCCCCTCAACGTAAGCATTCCTTCAGTAATCAGACATTCGCAACACATTTTAATCCTGCAGTTCCAAAAAAATATCACATTTAATGTTTGATTTCGAGAATGTGCGAGCAGCGATCTTGTTTACAGACGCACTGAAATACAACGCACTTCCAAATTGAAAAACTAGTTTCAATAATTGTAGATACTGTACTTTGAATTTCAAATTTTGATTAATCCCATTAAAATCTTACTCATCAAGATGAGGCTTCAAGATGGAGTACCACCAATCTGCCACATGAGGGCGCTAGGGCATTATAAGAGCAGAGTCGATCACATCTTTCAGCATTCCATATATTTGGCATTATTTTGGTGTCTGACAATTCCCATCTTTAATCCACAGACATACTAAGTCATTTACTACAATCTAACTCAATAGGGGTACTGTATGTGCTCAGCATCTTCATGAGCTTCCAGCTGGAAATTCAAAACAATGCTCACAAATGCCAAAAAATGTCATTAAAATATGACACGTTTAGATAATTGCCAACAATAGATTTGGAGATGAAAAAGTTCTTTACTGCTTAACATTAGGTTGATGGTGTTTTGCAAATGCGTAAAATACTGGGCCATAAAACATTGCAATAGGTAATGCAGGGTTTGCGATTTTAAGCGGCAAACTTTGGGGCAACTAAAGGTAAAAATAGTTTTGGACATCATTAAATTTATGTTTTTAAAGAGGAATCTGCATGGCAGATGAGACAAAAGTAATAGGAGCATATGAAAATAAAACAGCTGTTGCAATAGGGCAGCAAAATGTGCCGACATATTAAGTGAAACCATTATAACTGGACTTCAAACGATCTGCTAGAACTTAAGACTACAATCTTCTATAAAAAAGTGCCTGTTTTCCTGGAGAGATAGACTTGTATTCTCGTTAATAGCCGCTGCAGAATGTGTGCATGTTCATCACAAGAGAAAGGACTGGACACTCAAAAACCAGTGATATAGCATCATTGATGAGAACAGCAGTGAAACGTGTCAAATATATACAGACCATCAGCTTCGGTACATCTTCAGTCATTTTCAAACTCAACTTTTCAAATCAATATTTTTTTGTTGTGAAAGAAAAATACATTTACAAACACAAAAAAGAAAAAGTTCAACATGTTTGGTGTTTGCAGATGTTTAAGAATTAAGCTCGCTAATAACTTTGCGTGTAATCACTGCAAACTAACTTCATTGCTAGCGTTGACTGCAGAGGTGACAAGACAGGCATCGTGAAAACTGTGATAACAGATACATTTTAAAACGTGATCGTCACCAACGTCATGCAGAACGTGGAGCATTACTTGAACTTAATCTGCAAAAAGAGCAAAAAAAAACAGATTGGACAAAGGAGTTATGGGGCTTGGAGGAAAACAATCTGCACCTTTCAGGTGGGCGAAAGAATGATCACATCTTGGAAACAATTGCTGCCCCCCTGACTCCCTAGCATTCTAAGTTGAGCTGAGAGGTGCAGAAATGCTCTGGGGAAAAAAAGCACAGGAGCTTGAAGCAGGAAAATGAAATGAAAATGTTTAGATGCGGATTGTTTCAAATATTTCTTCCTTCCCATCCCCAACTCCCCTTTTAAACTGATAACCAGAAAACTTGCAAATGTATATCCTGGAGAGTTGCAGAAAATGAAAGGGCAAAAAGCTTTAAAATAAATTCAGCTTTTACTGGTGTAGCATAATCTTATACTGAAACGTTAAGAATAACTGCCTTTATTTTTTTTAAAGTTATACTTTGAGATGTTTAAACAGTTAGTCTTTTAATGGACAAACTCACTTTTGCCAAAATGCTAGTATACCCAATAACTATTTTTAACTAAATCTAACTATTTGTTCCATACACTTTTTACTAAATCACAGTGTAAATTAATTCCAAACCACAAGTTTCTGTATTTTGGGGCATAAATAAGGGGGTTCATTTGTTTTAGCAGCTGGACCTGGGACCCATATTTGTCTTGAACGGCATGCCGGATGGTACCAGAAATAAAAGACAAATAATCCCAAAGCTCACTGTAAGGGAACTGGCATTTTGGGGTCCAAATAACCATAGCAATCATTAGAGATGGCTTTTTCAGTCATAGCCAAACATGGATTTATCTGAACTACCAGGACTTTAACAGAACCAGGTGTTTAGATCAGATGATGGTGGATCGTGGGTGTCCTGACAGTTTTAAACGAGTCTCTGCTCCGACACAACTATCTCCACAAAGTTCTGCTGAGGCCTGATAATGAACATTTGATTCTGGTGTGTTGAACCTGGGAAAACACTAAAGCATGCAGGATAGAGGAATGGGTAAGATCCCTCTCTCCATAAGCTCCATTGTTTTTAAAATGTTAATACAAATCCTTGTCCCATTAGAAAATATTGATATTCTCTTGTGAAAGTGTCAAAAATGTTACATTGAATAAATGTACTCAAATTAAATTTAGATTTTTTTGATGTTGTTAAATTGACAGCATAGGATTAGGCTACAAAAAGATGCATTCATTTTAAAATATTCTTAAATATATTTTCCTGGGTTGCCCAAAACGTTGCATGCATCTGTATGGAGTTTATACAAAGCAGTGCTTCCTGAAGAGTGGGAGGAAATACAGCCCAACGGATAAAATGATTTAATTCAAGGAATAGGTTGCAACCAATTACAAATAACCCCCTCTTCAAATTAAACTCTTGATTTTATTCAAGTAAAACTACTGTCCCCATCTCTTTCTGCGATTCAGTGTTCATAAATGAAACTTGAACAGAACACATGTTATGTCTGTGAAAGAAAACGCTAAATTATCCCAACACTTATTCAGAGCAGTGATTTCAAAAGGAGAGGGCAAGGAAGTTATGCCAAACATTGCAGGGGAAAAAAAAATTCAAGGTTAAAGCTTATCCAAAGGCCTTGATCACAGTGAAGACGGGAAATAAAACAATCACTTGAGACATTTTTAGAAATAAAAGTTTGAAGAAAAAAAAAAAAGGTTTATCAACTCAGTCACTCTTTATATTTACAGGTTTAGAAATGTACAGTAGGGAGGAATAGATAGATGCAAAAAGGTTGAGCAAGAGAAGAAGAATATTTACAATAGGTACTCTGGAAATCAGAACAAGCGTTAAATTCAACTACCACAACAAACGCCACATCAAATCAAAATAACTTTCAAATCCTCAGTGTACAGCTCTCACAACAATTATTGGTAATGCTGCTAAAGATGTGTAGGAAGCCTTGAAATGAGTTTCCAAACTATCTCCCTTACCACGCTCCTTACTCCTACCATGACATACTGGCAAGACTGGTTTGGGTCCTTTACACCATTCCAGTTTTAAAAGTTACAACTATTTTTCCGACTGCAGGCAAGAGCTTACATACGATGTTCTCTTGTGTTCACCATTTTGAAGATTGTCAAAGCTCAAGGAAACTTTAAGTCATGGATTAAAAGGAAAAAATATAAGTATATTTGCTGACATACTGGCAAATTTTCTTAAAATTTCAGTGAGATTTCACAGCTACAATAACATAACAGTGAACATTTCTACACATCTTTATCAGAGGTGCTGCTAAGTGTAGAAGATGCTGTACACTCTTGTATTTCAAAGAGGAGATTAGTTTGGAATCGGTTTGCTTTCATTTCCGGGGAACATATCTAAACATTTTAGAAAATGTGATAAATCCCACTGAAAGGCTTCATTCTTTTTAAATGAAGCCAGATATATCGGGGTATTCATTTAGCTCAGCATAGAGTTATAACAGTGCCAAGCAACAAGTCTGCGTAAGAGTAAATGCTCTAGATAGCTTTTTTTCTTCTATACATTTGGGAATAATTGTCTTAATCTTCAGAGATTTTATCCTCATCTTTATGCTAAGCTTCAAACCAAGTTGGCTGGCATGAGAGGTAATCTTTGTGTGTAAATCTGAGCACAAGTGAGGTAATGCACAGACATCTTAAAATGCTAAATCATTCATTTTAGGTTCTTCTTGTGTCTTTCTTCTGACATCTCAGGTGAAGTAACCCCAGAATCACAGAGAAAGAAAAGTATTGTTTAATTTCTGTGTGAACTATCTGTTTTATTTTTGTAGTTATGCCATTCAAGGTAAAGCATCTAAATGTGTGGAGAAATGGAAGAAAGCAGGTTATACAACACTCTGCACTATGTCACTGACAACCTCTGAGTACAGGGTAAAGTGAGTGGCCACTAAAGCCGAAGCATCAAGACTTGATCAGCTATTTACACACAACCTAAGGTAGGTTTCCTTCAAGCTAAGTAACAGAGTAAAGATATCTGGGCTCATACCAGCAGGGCTAACACACACTGCACTGTTAGATGTGTGGCTTGCTCTTCTCATTCAGCTTGTCATAGTTGACCGCTTCAGTAGCGTGGGGGAAGGTAAGGCCTCTTCTGCGCATGGAAGGGACCGCCGCCGAATGGAGGTCCGGCTCGTTTCCCTCCATGAAACCCGCCCCTGGGGTGGTCTTGAGACAGGCTGCGGCCTCGCATCGCGGGTCTCTGCTGCATGGGAGTGGCGAGGATCGGGGATCTGGACGTGGGTAAGTTGAGGAGGGGGACGGGGTTGGAGCCTGGGTTGTGGGGCGCAGCTGGAGGGCTGGGTGGGGGTTTGGAGAGAGAGGAGTCTCCTGCGGGAGAATTAGGCGTGGAGGGAGAGGGCGTGGAGGATGTCGGGGAGGGGTGAGGTAAAATTAAAGGCTCCTTCACTCTGCCGAGTAAAGGCGGAGGAACGCCAGGCGCACCCGGGCGGTGGAGAGGGGGGGTATGGCGAGGGATTAAAGGCTCTTTAACTGTGCCGGGACGGGGAAGTTTAGGAGGTTCACCTAGCAACGATGACATGAGTGGTGGAGGGGTCACCTTCCTTCCTCTGGGCCCCATTCTGCCGTGCTCTGCACCTTTGGGTCTTAGTGATGGAGGAAGAGGCAAGCTGTGGTCCACGGGGACCAGGATCCCCCCCACCATGACGGAGTGGGGCAAAGAAGGGTGAGGCGGTGGAGGCGAGAGGCGGTGCATGGAAGGAGGTGGAGGCAGCCGAGGGATCGGGGGAACAGAGGCGAAAAAGGAGGCGGAGGGATGAAGATGAGGTTGAAGCATCGATGGAGGAGGAGTCTGCATGTTTTCAGGGTGGTACGGCATTGGGAACGGAGGCTGAGGAGGGGGGAGAGGAAGAGACGGAGGAGGGTGAAGATGTGGGATGTGGTGTGGTGGAGGAGGAAGAGGAAGCATGGAGGGGTTCATGTCTTCAGCGCCTCCCTGACCCATGTTGTGAGGAGGGGGTAAAACTTGGGGTGATGGAGGCTGACCCTCCAAGTATTCTTCCTCTTCGTACCACATCGAAGCCCCTGGCCGACTCCCGGCTCCTCCCCCTCGCCGAGAGCCTCGACCAATCACACGGATGCTCTCAACTGTCTTGATGCGCTCTCCGGCTGATGGGCGGTTTGAATACCCCAGAGTTTGGATTGGTGCTCCTTCGGTGTGGGGCGACACCAGTGTCTCGATGCGATGGTACTGACCTTCCTTTGTGTCTGCTAGCATCTCTTTCCCATTGTCCTTTTTTCCACCCAGACCCGCATCGTCGGAACCGGTGCTCGCCTTCCGAGAGCCAGCAGAGAGTCGCCGCTCTGCCAAAGCTCTGCTGTTCCGACTCTTCAAGTCACCGCCAGAAGAAGACGACACCTGCTTCCTCATCATGTCTTCGTCGTTTAACTTCATGCCGCTCCTTTTTCCTGCACCAAACCTTGAAGAGGAGAAGCTAAGAAAGTCTCCGTTGTTGCTGCTTCCAGTCGGGGTGACTGCAGCATCCCAGGGATCATTGCGGTAGGCTGTGGGTGAGAGGTTATGGCTGCCAGAGGAGCCCAGAGATTCTGGCACGCCTCCAGGTGTGTCCATGATCTCGTCCTGCGTCGGCGTGCCCGCAGCCTCATCCCTCACCGGGGTGCCGTCGACGCCATCAGGACTCGCGTCGCCCAGCGCCAGGCTGAAGCCTGGATTACCCTGCAAGAAACTGTTGATCTTCGATTCTAGGCTGGGGGGAGAGGAAGAAGGAGCTGAGGTACGAGGAGGGGGTGGAGGTGGAGGTGGAGGAGAGAGCTGGCGCTCCTTCTCCCAGTCTCTGGCTCTTCCAGGTTCGTCTTGTTTGAGACTGTTCCCCAGAGGGGGTTTCGTCTTCGGGGTTGTGGGGGTTATCGGGGTTTTGACACTGGATGAGTCTGGGGAGGTTCGGTTGGAGGGAGCGGTGGAGGTATTAGTCACACTTTGAAGGAGAGATGACAAACCTGTTTTGAGATGATTAAAATAAAAAAAGAAGTGACATAAATTGTGTGATAATATTCATTACTAATTAAAACAAAGAGAGAAGTGTGTGCAACCTGGTGTGTTGGTTTTAGACAGAGCGTTTAGTATCCCTTCAGGGGTGATGTCAACACGTGACAGGATGCTGGCCAAAGCAGGACTTGGCGGCGTCCCTTTGGAGGCCGCTGATTGGGCAGTAGGGGTGGTGGGGGTCCCAGGAGACGGCCGAGGAGATGGAGTAGGTGCTGGGAGAACGGCAAGGACAGAACAGACAAATCAAAACCACAGTAAATATAAACCAAAGCAGGCAGTTATCCAGTTTTTAATGGTCCAAGGGCTCATCCACTTTCCCCCCAAAAGTGCTAGTAAAATTCTAGCACTTTTCAAGCATTTTCAAGGTGGATTTTCTAACTTTCCAGGGACAGTTTCAATTCAGTACTATATGGTATGATTTTCTACTGTTACTAATGTTAATTTGTTTAGTAAAATGTGATCAGCTGACATTGATTAAATAATGTCTAATCATGTCTAGTATCCTTCAGAGGATACCAGAGAAGGCAGACATTTTCAGACAAGAGGGAGTTAGTTGTCTCCACATACAAAAAAGTTATTTTTCAGAAATGCTGAAAATATAATCATCACAGATTTGTCTCGAAATTAGAAATCCTGTGAACTGGATGAACATTAGAATTAAAGCATTCACTGTTTCTGGTTGTTGATGTCCTGGTGAACTGCAGTGGTAGTATAGTAGCAGGGGAGACCAAAGCTGAACTTTTTTTAACAACCACATAAGAAACTGTGACAATAACCACACGCTACATCAAAGTTATTCAAAATCAAAATATGCCAATTTTCATTTAACTGATTTGTGATCAAATGCCAAAGGTCAAGAATGGTAAAATTTGATTATTCACTATTTATGATTAAACTAAGAGCTCCCACTGTTTTAGTAAATATATCATACGTTTTTCCTTTAACACACAACAGCAAAATTAAAACCTTAGACTTTTGCTTTAAAACAAAAATATTGATAACCTTGTAGTTCCTGAATTATTTGCAGGATTAAAATTGTTTCAAACCTAATAAAGTGGCCAGTGAATGTACATGTACAACTCCACGAGGTTTTTTGCTGTATATTTTTAGCTAGAAATAGCTAACCATTAGATTTTAACACATGGTGGCGTTATAAGGAAGACGGTGAGAAGTCTTTTCGTAACCGGCCTGCAGCTCTGCATGTCCAGGCAGTCAGTTTGTATGCTTAGCTAATCAAAAGCAGGAAAACCCATCACTCCTAAAAACCTGCAAATTAACAAAATATATGAAGGACATTTCTCAGTTATCAATCGTTAATTTAATTTTTCTCTTACCATAGAGACCATGACCAACTCCAAACTCACCTGTGTTCTTCATGGCAGATGTGAGAGAGCTGAGAATGGAGCTGATCTTCCCCAGGTCCACTTTGGCCAGGTTCACTCCCAGGGGCGTGGTCGGGGTTGTTGCAGCTTTAGCAGATGTCGGAGTCATTGGGGTTGCAGTGGTAACAACAGAAGGGCTGGGTTTGGGTGGTTTTGTTGGCGTGCTTGGAGGTTTTGACGCTACGTCCGACTTCGACTTGGAAACAGCCGTGGACGGCTGGTCTGACTTAACATCTGACAGGGGAAAAACAAATAAATGAAATTGTCCCGACTTAATACAATGCTGCAGTGGAGAAGAACTTCATGCTTTGAAAAATTCAACTTTTTCGTTTTCAACAACTTCTATTTACTTATTGTCATGAATACACTTAATGAGCTGAAGCACTTAAAAAAAATTACTCCTTGACTTCTGCACAATAATCTGAGAATTGTTTAATTGAGAATTACCCTGCGCAGCACCAGCGCCTGCCTCCTCATCTGACATGTCCATGTCTTCCATGTCTCTGTTGTCGTTTTGGAGCTCTCCTTCGTCCATGGCCTTGCCGTCCAGCTCCGGATCCACCTTGGCCCTGGCTGTCTCCATTTCCAGAAAGGGTGAGTCGGAGCCAGTGGGTGAAGGAGCGTCTTCAGAGGGAGAGGGGATGGGTGAGTCCTCAGGGCCGGAGAGTGATGCCTTGAGGGAATCCAGTTTCTTCTTGAGGCTGTTTACTCGGTTGGCAAAGGCATTATATGCCTGAGGAGGGGAATTCAACAAATTAATGTGAGAGACATGTGATCAATATCAATAGATGATACTCTCCAATCCCAGTTATATTAAACTTAATTCTGCTCCTCTAACTCCATGCAACTCTGTGTTAAAGCTGTTTAAGCAAATCATTCATGAACAAAGACTTGCTTAAACATTTAGAATATTATGAAAAAGCTTTCTCATTTTGTTAAAAACACTTTTTCTTATCTGGATGCAATTGTGTCATACTTTCACAGGTTAGTACGTAAATGTATCTGTCAAAGTTCTAAAAAGAGCTTAAAAATACAAGCATCTTTATCATATTTTGAACACACAACACACTTACGTTTGCCACAATCTTGACCTCCTTGTATTGCATCTCATAGAATATATCTGCATTTCCCAAAGCTTCCAGCAGGGGCGGTCCAGTTTTCAGCTCTTTTTCCAGGAAGCTGACAAACTCCTGAAGCTTCAGACTGCCATCTTCAAAGTCCTTAGCAAAATTATTTCCTCCGGCTTTGTCTAAAAAGGGAGAAATTGAAAAAACAGAATAAAGTTATTTGAATTTTTAAAAATCTCAAATGGAATGAATTGATGTATTTTTGTTAAGACTGAAAAGCTGAAGAGGAATTAAGTGTTTTAAGAAAGGATGAAGAAAATTGTTTTTGCACAAATGCAAAACTGAGTTTATAGCAAATTTCCTACAAAAATGGTCAGAAACACTGGGTTTAAGTTTCAACCTATGGGAGGCAGTATTTCTTACTTACACTACACTGCTACCCCAGGCTTGCTTCTTGTCAAGTTAAAGTCTAAGATCAATATGGAGAGTTACAAAAACTCAAATTTACCGTCATACATACTTTGCTCAAAAGACTGAGCAAAGTAGTGTGTCCCTCTGTTCTCCATGAGAGTGTGTCGGGGGAATTATAGCA